TGTTGGTTTTTTTTGGGGGGGGGAGGGAGTTAATAAAACCAAAACTGTTACCCTTTCCACCCTCCATCCCAAAATAATCCTCCTACGAATAGGTAGGAATGAAATGCTGAACTATGTGGGACCCCTGAAGAAAATTTCCTTGGTCTGTTTGCTAGTCCCAAAATAAAATATCACAAACTGAAAGACAATCTGAGGGTCCAGTTGAATGAGGTTAAGCGTATTTAGTAAATTACCGAAAATTGATTTTTTGGCCAGCAGACTGTAGAAATTTTGTGCTATTGCAACATTTACTGGACACTGTCACCATCTGAAGGTGATGTATCTCAAATCTTGATAGAAAACAACATCAGTGGCCTCAAAAGAGCCAGGAAGGAGAAGGGGATTGTTTGAAACGAGACTGAGTTTCCACTGCTGGGATAACATGGAGTCTTGCCCCTGCCACTGTTGTGCAACTCCTTGCAGGCACTTCAACATCCACTCAAAGTTACGTAGCTCCACTCAGAGATAATCACGGCTGTGAAGGTAGGTGTGTGCTTCAGCGTCTGAAGGACTGGGTCAAAGGCCCCAGTTCAAGAAAACACTGAGGACAGGGTTAAACCCATAACTAAGTACATGTCTAATTGCTGTCTTCAATCTGGATGCTTTCCTTCTACGGCACAAATGAACTAACGCTGGAGAAGTTACCTTTAATTTGAAAGTTTCCTGTTACAGAGGCGAGTAGATGTTGTATGTGGATGTGTAAATATATTTACGCTCTAAAGTGGTAGTTCTCTCATTTTTGAGGCCACTAATTACAGGAAATAAAGCCAGAGAAATTCTCTGATACATTTTTCTCTGGAGGCCTATCCCGCTCGGGTACTTAAAGAGGAACTGAGGTGCTGAACTCCAAGACCGTGATCCCCAAACCCCTGAGGCACCTAAAGCAGCTGCCTGCATTTTAAGTTGGCAAGACTGGGAAGTTCTCTGTAGGTGTGTGTCCCAGGTGGCCTCTCCTGGGCTGCGCTGGGCAACCAGCCAAGGCACAGCTCTTCCAAAGCCTCCTGCGGGCACGGACATGCTCTGCACACCTAAGACACGGCGGAGGGAGGGAGCTAGGCGCAACGTACCACGGCCGTGGGCTTCCAGTGCTGCTGCCCCACGCTCGCACTGGCACCGCCAGCCCTGACTTCAGCCTGTGGTGGGAGCTGGACCCCAACTTTCCCTCCCCATTCCTCACAGGGTACCAAAAACAGCAGCCAGGAGGAGCTGAGAGAGGCAGCAACGCTCACCTGCTCCTCTGAGGGAAGCCATGCCACTTTAAACACCGAATTATCAGCAATCCATTTGGCTGGAGTCAGGACTTTTCCTGACTTCCTAGCGGGTGGAAGAGGTGACCAGCGGGGGGGGGTCCTCCCAAGCAAGACTGTGTTAAGACATTTGATGGGGCAAAGCCCCATGCCTGCAGCAGGTGCAGGACGCTAGCAATTGGGGGACAAGCCTTCTGCACTTTATGCAGAGATGAACGCAGTGTGAGGACACCTCAGGCTTGCAATAGAGAGGCAGCAGGGTGCTCACTAACCTTAGAAGTGGCCTGGCAGGAAGGGGAAGAAGAAAACTGAACGGTGCTGACATTCACTTTAAACTCATCTGGTTCCAGTACTAACGCTGGAAAAACCATCCCTGGTTGCACTTTTGCTACAGGGCCTTCAGCAAATAAGCATTTTTGGGAGACCCCTGGGGGTTTTTTGGTACTCTTCAAGAAAGGGCACTGAAATTTTAGAGAAGCTCAATCCTTACAGCACCTGTAGGGTTTCTGGCCCAACTGCAAGCTTTAGGCCTGAATGTGTTTGTCACAAAGGTGAGGGGGAAAGACAAAACAAGTAAGAACCTTTTCTCATTTTTCTGAACAGCTATTTTCTGTAGGTAGAGGGGGCTAACATAAAATTTCTAAATGGTTTAAAAGGAATTATCTTTAAAAAAAAAGAAGGGATATTTCAACCTCAGTGTCTGGAAATTTTAAATGCTCTTTCGAATGTTAAGGCTGAACTACATAATTATTGCTCAAAATCCCATCTCTTTAAATCCACATATTGAGCCTACTTTTACTAAAATAAATTATTCTATTAAATATTATTCCAGACACCCCTAGTTTTGACCTAAGTAGGAGTAACCAGCTAATTAGTTGACACTTTACAAACACATTCCTCACTGCTACTGCAAGGCAACCTAAGATGCCAGCAGATGCAGGAAACTGAGGCTGTGTTTGTGTATCCTCCTAGCTAGATCTGGCTGGATGTTTGCAAACTCGCCATCCACAGGAACCCTTAACGCTGTTGTCTCATCCCACCTGCAGGTCCCACTGAAAAGCCAATAGTTCATCATATCAGGAAATAAAACCGCACAGCAAGTGGTGAAATGATGTATGTGCAAAGATGACAGAATCAGTGAGATGTTTTTTGAACTGGGGATATCGCAGCACAGGACATCCCCTCCCTCCGCCATTAGGAGAATGCAAATTTTCTTCTATAATATGTA